ACATCATGGTTGGGACGCGCCACAACCCAGGAGGCAGTGGTACCAGTGGTACCAGTGATGAGGAGATCCGTAAGCTGATTCACGAGGAGGTGGCCGCAACCATACGAGCTGAGATTCCTGAGATGTTTGGGTCTATCAAGACCAATTGGATTGAGACGTTTGACGAGCGGTATGCTTCTCTTACCGAGGCTGCTGTTGTTGCAGCCACCGCAGCCGTCGTCGTTGCCAGGCCACAGGGGGGTGACTCGTTGCTGTACCGAGCGTTCAGCAACACGAAGCCACCAGAGTTTGATGGGACTCAGGATCCGATAGCCGCGATAAGGTGGATCTCTGACATTTAGGGATGCTTCTACACCTGTTCTTGTCCGGAGCATCTGAGGGTTCGATTCGCACTGAACCAGCTTCGCTTGGGAGCGAAGGACTGGTAGAAGTTTGTTACGATAGACTTCACTCCTGCAGAGATTACAGCGGTGACCTGGGAAAGGTTCACCACCATGTTCCGAGATGAGTATGTTCCCCCGGTGGAGAGGGAACGGTTGGCGCAGGAGTTCTTGTTCCTCAAGCAGGGGACAGAGTCCATGACGGTGATTACACGGATGTTTCATGAGAGGGTGTTGTTTTTCCCTGAGCACGTGCCTACCGAGCAGGCACGTATGAGTTGATATCTGAGCATACTGAGGAGGGACATTCGTGAGTTCGTGGCGAAATCGACGTACCAGACATTTGCTGAGCTTCAGGCAAATGCCCAGAAGAGGGAGATTGAGCTGGAGACTCAGGCCAGGGAGGAGGCCGAGTCTCAGAGGAGGGATAGGCGGCCGGTTCAGTCTCAACCGGCAGCCAAGCGGGCAAAGCCCGCTGATTCGAGATCTGGGGGCCAGAAGGGCCGCACCTGCGGGAAGTGCGACAAGAGTCATGATGGGACGTGCAGAGCGGGAGTGTGCTACAAGTGTGGGAAGGAGGGGCATATCGCGAGGGATTGCCCCAAGGGATTTTCGGTTTGCTTTCACTGCAACCATACGGGACATCGGAAGGCCGAGTGCCCACATCTACTTCAGGGATCGACACAGGGATCTGCACCTGCTGCTAGTACAACATCGGAAGGCCGAGTGCCCATATCTACTTCAGGCAAATGGTTTACCATTGTTGGTAATTTTGAAATAGTACAACACGGTTGATAAAATGTTGAAATCGTTGCTGCAACTTCTATGCATATTTTTAAGATTGTCAAATACGCCATTAAATTTGGTGCAAGCCACTGGAAGGTCACGCCATTTTGTATTGACCGAGTCGTATGTACGACTCGTTTGCCTTCCTAATAACGTGTGGAAGTGGTCTAAAACACGATTCCAAAAACTTTGACCCGTTTGTGCGTTGCCTACCTCCCCGTCTTGTGATATGAAAATCCAAGCTTTAGCTAAAGTTTCCTCTTCCTTTTCGGTCCATTGCGTACTTTTCTTTTTCCTTGGATATTTTGAATTTGTTTGCCTTCTACGATTTGGTTGTGTTTCTTCAACCCATTCGCCGTCGTCGTTATTGTCGAGGTTTATAGGTTGAGATTAAGATAATGAAACTTGAGATACTTGTGATGGTTGTTGACGTTGAGAAGTTTGGGGTTGAAATTGCGGAGAAACTTGTTTTTGAAAGGCTTGAAATTGGGGTTGATTGAATTGTGGTGCTTGTTGTTGTTGGTTGTAGTGTGGATGGTATGAAATATTGTTGAATAGAGGTTGTTGTTGGAGTGGATATGTTAACAATTGCATATAACTAAGATTTGCTAATTGATCATTTGGAGTGTTTGGGACGGGTGGAGTATTTTAATTTGGATCCATAAAAATATGCGAGGAAGGAATATTTTTTTGTTAAATATGGGTGTTTGTGTTGAAAGAGTGTGTGTGTTTGAAATGTAAAATGAATGTTATATATACAGAGAAATTTATCAGTAATGTAATGATTAAATTTTTAAGCTTTTATATATAAACGGTCGAAAATAGTCCCACGCTCCCCTAACGGTCGAAAAAGTCAAATGGCCAATCCAATCATCTTTCTACATCCGTCTTCGCGTCCACGCCACAGTCAATGCACCCGCCTTTGGGCGGTGTTCGCGCGTCTTGGGGGGCTCCATGTTAGCCTCCCACGTGTCTTCCGTTCACCACACCGGATAGCCTTAAAACCGACGCTAGCCAGCGTTCTTTTACAAATATTTACTGGTGTGAATGATTAAATTGTAAAAACAAAAATCAGATGTGATTTTTTATCGATAATGCCAAAATATAGAGACTATTATGAGATTTCCCTATAAAAATAAAACAAATTAAATAAATGCCAATACGGCATTGCTTCATTTGATGGTAACACAACACTCACAAAGAGAGAGTTGGCATCTTTTCTTGGACAGCCTAGCTACCCACATGCCCCCTCCTTTTCCCTTTTCCTTTCCTTTTCCTTTTCCTTTTCCTTTTCTTTTTTTTTATTCTACTTATTTTACAAAAAAAAGCTTTGCTGCACAAACCTCTCGTTGATATCCCCCACAAACTTATTTCTTAACTCTCTCTCTCTCTCTCTCTCTCTCTCTCTCTCTCTCTC